AAATAAAAACTACACCTAGGAATTTACAAAGTGTCAGCCTGAGGCCATTTCGCTAAGTGTATTAAAGGAGCCTACAGATTCAAAATGGCCTAAGGACATCACTAAATTATAGCCCAGGGCTATAATTGTTGGACCTAAGTCATCAAGAAGACTTTTCTGTTTTTATATTATTTTAAACTCAAAAAAATATGTCATAATTTTGGAAATTTTCATTGAAAGTTAAAATTAACATTTTGGTTCAAAAAGGAAGAGAATTGTCAGATATCTGAAAAATTCTACTATTCCCAAATAAATCAACCCTGAAAGTTTTCGCAGGATGAAGGTTTCACTGTCATTCTCACCCCTTCCAATAGCTCCAACCAAGCCTGCCCAGCAGTTCCTGCCACTGCCTTTGACAATCAAAATGATAAGGGAGCCCTAGCCGGTTTGGCTCAGTGGATAGAGCATCAACCTACGGACTGAAGGATCCCAGGGTGGATTCCAGTCAAGGGCACATGCCCGGGTTTTGGGCTCAGACCCCAGTAGGGGCATGCAGGAGGCAGCTGATCAATGACTCTCTCTCTCATCATTGTTGTTTCTATCTCTCTCTCCCTCTCCCTTCCTCTCAAATCAATTTTTTAAGAAAATGATAAGGGAGCCCTGGCCGGGTGGCTTGGTTGGTTGGAGCCTTGACTGGAACACCGAAAGGTTGTGGGTTCTATTCCCAGTCACATACCTGGGCTGCAGGTTCAATCCCTGGTCGGGGTGTCTCCAGAAGGCAACCGATAAGTGTTTCTCTCTCACATCAATGTGTGTGTGTGTGTGTGTGTATCTCGTTTTCCCTTCCTCTCTCTCTAGAAAAATCAATAAAATCACCTCCTCTGGTGAGGATTTTAAACAATGGTAAAGGAAAAACAAGAAATAGGACAGTGATGGCAAACCTATGACACGCTAACTCATTTTTTTGGTTGATTTTTCTTTGTTAAATGGCATTTAAATATATAAAATAAATATCAATAATAGAAGTCTTTGTTTTACTATGGTTGCAAATATCAAAAAATTTCTATATGTGACACGGCACCAGAGTTAAGTTAGGGTTTTTCAAAATGCTGACACGCCGAGCTCAAAAGGTTCGCCATCACTGATATAGGAAAATGCTACATCTAAATACCACACTGTATTCTTTTTAAAAAATGTATTTTTTTATTGATTTTTTACAGAGAGGAGGGGAGAGGGATAGAGAGTTAGAAACATCGATCAGCTGCCTCCTGCACACTCCCCACTGGGGATGTGCCCACAACCAAGATACATGCCCTTGACCGGAATCGAACCTGAGACCCTTGAGTCCGCAGGCTGACGCTCTAGCCACTGAGCCAAACCGGTTAGGGCCCACACTGTATTTTTCCTCAGAATTTCAAGAAAACCTGTCTGACTGGTAAAATTACATTTTTAAATGTGATAATATCCACTATTGATGGGAATGTAATTTTGAACACCATTTTAGAAGGGAATGTGGCAAGATTTATCTCAGCTTAAAATGTACACATCTTTTTTTTTTTATCCTCACCCGAGGATGTTTTATTGATTTTTTAGAGAGGGGAAGGGAGAGGGAGAAAGAGACATAGATATGAGAGAAACATCGATCTGCTGCCTCCCACACACGCCCCTACCGGGGATTGAACCTGCAACCTATGTACGTGCCCTGACTGAGAATCAACCCACAACACACTCCAACTAACCAAGCCTCCCAGCATGGTGCAACCATGTTTTTCATGAGCTAGAGTTGTGTGTTTTTATGTGGAGAAGGCCACTAAGATATAGTAAAAGAGAAAAAGACAAAGTGAAAAATGGACAGTCTGATCTCATCTGCGTACATGGTTTTGCTGATACATGCATAAATTTTTTTCTGGAAGGTTGTAAGCAAGAGTTAACAGCAGATACCTTTGAGGAGAGGGACTATGGTTAAGAGATGTGTGGAGGGACCTTTCCTTTGCAACCTCTGTACTGTTAGTATGTTCCAATATGTACCTGTATTACTTTTGTTTTTATTTCTTAACAAAGAAAAAAAGAAGGTGGAGGTGGCGCTATTCGGGCACAATGCTCTCAGAAGTACATTTATCCACACGCGGGCAGGGACCCTCCCACCCTCTCCACCGTAGCTAGTGACTTATAAACAATGTCTGACACAAGGAGGATGCCAGGAACAGAAAAATGGATCGAGTACTTTCTAGTGCCTTGTCCTTCAGGAGAGGGCCGATGCCAACACTACCGCCTGCAGTGAACTCCCACCGTCTCCTGAGGGGATCCCACCCAGCCAGGTCCCAGGACTGTCTTCATTCAGGCACCAGAAGCAGCCTGGAATTCCAGCCACTGACTCTGACAGGACTCCTCCAGGTTCCCTGACCCGAGAATCATAAAAACCTGCCCATCAATTGTCAGCCTTCTCCGAGCTCTACTTCTCATGAGGCACCGTACAAAGTACTTTACAAACACTGATTAATTTTAACCTCACGATAACCCCATGCCGTCGCTACATCGTGACATCCTCTTTTTCAGAGAAAATTTCAGCTCAGATTAACAGACAACACGCCCAAAGCTCAGACTGGAACTGCGATCGGTCAGCTCCCAGAGCTGACAGTCCTGCCACTGTGTCAGCCCGACGCCCCGAACCCCCAGCACACAATGAGAAGGCTGGGGAAGTCACTCCTTGCCCCGACGCAGGGAGTAGAAGAGGACGACAGGAAGAAGTTTCCATTCACACAGAAAGAATTTCAGGGTCAACTGAATCTTTGGTTCACCTGCTACATTGTTCACAGCACCAGGGGATCCTCCCCGTCCAGAGCCAGACGACCGGAACTAGTTAATGGACTCTGTCTTCGGCCCGGAGGGTGGGGAACCGAGGCCCGGCCCCTCCCGTGGCCTCCGCGGACAAAGTGACCAGCACTGCGGTGCCTAGCGCCCCCGCAACATCCGGATGAACCTCCGCCGCCCCCACCCGGTGGACCACGCGGGGGACAGCCCAATGCTAGGGAAGGAGAGGGATCTGCCCCACGACCCCCCTCCCCGCACTAAGGGGAGGCTGGATGGGAGTCGGTCATCCAGCACGGGTTTGCGCGGCGGGGATCCCCGGAGTCGCCAGGGCCGGGCGGTCGGAGGGAGGCCGACCGAAATGGGGCTTCCTTGCCCGCTGACCCCCGGCCAGGGCCGACCTTCGGGGTGCCCCCAAGCCAATGAAAGCGGCAGCGTGACCCCGCTTCTCGGATCTCACCTTCCAGTGGGTTCCACCAGCACCGCCACCAAGCTACGCACACAGACACGCCCCCCGCTTTCATTCACTTGTCGCCTCCTCCGATGAGAAGCGGGACAGCCGACCAATCACGGGTGTGGCTGGGCTCGGGAAGGTGGGCCTTCGCCCAGCAAGGTAGCCAATGGAGAGGCGCCCTCTCCGGAGGATGCGCACTGAAGGCCCCAGCCCTCGTGGGGTGATGGGAGTTGTGGTCTCGGCGTGGGTTTTTCGGTGAAAGATACAGTGGACAAAACTACAAGTACCAAGATGCCAAAAGGGGCAAGAACCAGCGCTTGTAAAAGGCTGGAGCTTCGTGCGGTCTTCTGAGTCCCACTCGAGGGACCTGCGAAGTATTGATCTCTTTGTCCGGAGAGCTAAAAGCGCGTCATGCATATTAATGCAACCCGGGGAGTAAGAGCTATGACTTATCCGTGCACCGCAAAAAAATTGAAAACGAGTGAAATGGTTTAATCTACGCAACAGGTTATGATTGAATACTAGCAACACTTTCTCCCCTTGAAAGGCTTTCGGGTTCATATACACTAGTGAAACACCTAAATAGTGGTACGAGCCTGGCGGTGTGCTCAGTGGTTGAGCGCTGACCCGTGAACAGGGAGGTCACGGTGGGGGCGTGCCCCTGGCTGCGGCGGCTCTATCCCCAGCAGGGGCTTGCAGGCTGCAGCGAATCAATGATTCTCTCTCATCACTGATGTTTCTAACTCTCACCCTCTCTCTGAAATCAATAAAAACATATTTTTAAATAGTGGTACAAGGTGCTATTGGAATGGTACAGGCGCGTTCTGGAACGAGACAAACCAGGTTGCTGGTCTCAGGGGACTTAGTTCTAGTGAGGGGTGTAGTCGACTGTTAGGGCTTGCTGTGGCGATGTATCACAAACTAGCTTAAACGGCAGAAATGTATTGTCTCACAATTCTGGAGGCTAGAAGTCCAAAATCAGGGTGTTGTCGGCGTTGGTTCCTTTTGAGGGCTGTGAAGGAGGATCTGTCCTGGCCTCTCTCCTTGCTTTGTAGATGGCCATCTTCATGTCCACATGGCATTTCCCCTGTATCTATATCTCTCTGTGTTCGGATTTCCCCCTTTTTAAAGGACATTAGTCATATTGGTTTAGGGGTTCACTCTCCTCCAGTACAAAAGCCATCTTAACTAATTACATCTGCAGGCAGAACTGTCAGCAGCACATCTCATTGTCCTGAGGTCAAGATCTATACCAGCTCACAGACAGTGACTAATGATTTGAGCAGCTCAGAGTGAAAGATTAGAAGTTCACGACAAAGAGGGTTGGGAAAGATGGATTCCCCAGAATGATCCTAGATCGTGAGACAGCAGGTATGCCATATGAATGCTCAGGATGGGCCCCCAACTTGTTCAATGGGCTCATGGACATAGGACCATGATGACAGGGGTGAAGAACAAGGACATCCCCTCACCAAAGCCAAGCTGCCAGCACCACCCCTGACACCCAGTTTGCCCCCAGCAACAACCAGCCCTGAACCCCTGAGGGCACCAGCCAATCATTTAGAGGCAGGCTGATGGCATAGGATCATGTCCCTCATGATGGAGACAGGATTTTGTCTCACTAGAAGAGTTGCTTACCCTGGATTTAGATTTGCTTTCCTTGCCTTGCATGCCTCCACCGGAACCTCCATGTGTGGACTTAATAATCAGTCTTGGTATCGCACACAACATTGTTTTGATCATGGAAGTCATTTCACAATAAAGAAGTGAGACGCTGAGCTGTTACCCACAGGATTCACTGGCCTTACCATGTACCTTCTAAAATGGTGGCAAGGCCCCCTAGCTAGTTTGGCTCTGTGGATAGAGCATGGGCCTGCGGACTGAAGGGTCCCAGGTTCCATTCCGGTCAAGGGCATGTACCTGGGTTGCGGGCACATCCCCAGTAGGGGGTGTGCAGGAGGCAGCTGGTCGAGTTTTCTCTCTCATCAATGTTTCGATGTTTCTAACTCTCATCCCTCTCTCTGTAAAAAATCAATAAAAATAGATATTTTTTTATCTCTCATCAATGTTTCGATGTTTCTAACTCTCTATCCCTCTCCCTTTCTCTCTGTAAAAAATCAATAAAATATATTTTTAAAAATTAAAAAATATAAAATAAAATGGTGGCAAGGTCTATAGAAGGCCCAGCCAGACAGGGTACCCTCTGTGAGACAGAGCGCCATCTACAGGATGCAGTAGCGCTCTCAACCAGTGCGCTGCTTCTCCTTAGTCAGATGCTACATAGTTCAAGAACCAAGGGGCTAGAGCTAGATGTAGGAGAGTGGCTCCACTCACAATAACTTTTTGACTGACTCAAAGATTATTTGCTTCTTGGTCCCATGGCTATAGGGAGGGGAGGAATGCTAAAAGCCTTTAGTGTCTAAGAGAGGAATGCCTCCACCAAGTGGATACAAATTTTCCACTAAACTGAACTGTTGAACCTACCCCTCAACCATTTTGCATACTTCCTGCCGCTGAACAGAAAGTGAAAAAAAGAAATCAAGGTATTATCTGGGGTTAAACACTCTGGCTATCAAGGGGACATAAGTTGTTACCATAGCGTAGGGTTAGTGAGGCTTAGTGACAAACTCAACTCTATCCCTAAGAATCCCTGTTCCTACTACAAATCCTGTCATCAAAGTTACTGCAAAACTACTGCAATTCTATACGAGAGAGCCTCCCAGGGCACATACCTCTCAGGGATGAAGGGTTGGGTCTCTTCCGTGGGCCAAGAACTTGACCATCTGTTCTGACTGAAGGCAGAAGAAACCTGGAAAAAGACAGTGAAAAAGAAAAGTCATAAATACAAGATCAGCCTTAGAATGGGTTATGGAGGTGAGGATGATAGTTTCTATTTGGACTTCCTTCCTCAAAATATATATTTACATATTTTAAATACTTTCCCTTCTTTTTCGTTTCCCTTTCCCCTACTATTGTCTCCAGGTCGTCATCTAAGCAGAGTAACGCCACCATGTAGCCATAAAGTGCAGATGAGTGAGAAAGGAATGTAAGAAAGCTGGAGGAGGAACATGAGGGCCTTGAGGTACCTTCCTAGGGAATTAAGTTGTTGTCTTTCTCATTTATGGGACTGATACCTGCTTTCCGCTAAGTGGGAAGCCAATCTAAGTTGGGACACAGGGGTATGTGTTTGGCAGCAAGTGGGGTACATACGGCAATTAATGTTTGGGCCACCCACACTGGAAGGAAGGAAAAACTTGCCAGCACTACCTTTCCAGGTTCAATATTTGAGTCTATGAAATAAACTGACAACAGGCAGATTAACAGGAGAAAAGGTATATACATTTATTCATTTAAAAAATTGATTGATTTTAGAGAGTTGGGGGAGAAGAGAGAGAGAGATCAAGAGAAAGAAACAGCGATTTGTTGTTCCACTTATGTATGTATGCCTTGGTTGATTCTTGTATATGCCCTGACCGAGGATCAAACCTGCAACCTTGGCATATCTGAGGCAGGCATTTCCTGAACCCCCAAAGCGTCCAACCCCCGTCTCCCTTTTGGAAAAACGCTCACTGTCTGTTGTCACAGTAAGAAGGAAATGCCAGTGCTCGTCTCCCACGGCTGTGACCTTCGGCAAAAGCAGAGCGGGCTAGATCTTCACTCTACCTACTCTCAGGCACAGCCGAGAAGCAGGCTTGTGATGCACGAGTACCAAGAATCATGCTGGAGGCATTGGAAGACTATGGTTGTTGTTGTTATTATTATCTCATAATTGTGATTTCCAATCTTTTTCATCTCATGGCACACATAAACTAATTACTAAAATTTTACAGCACACCAAAAATGATATCATCGTTTTCACCAATCTATTGTTGTATTGGCTGTTGTCATTTTTCTGGAAAGGGAAAAGAGGTCAGGTATCAAATATTTTAAACAATCTTGCGGCATGTTGGTTGAAAATAGCTGATCTAACCAATGCAGAGAAAGAGGCTCTGAAGGGTAATGTGGCTTGCTCCCCTGAGCCAGGCCACAGGTCACCTTCTGGGAACCTTGATAGCAGCCACCTTGCAGGAGCCAGTCCTCAGCTCTTCCTTGGCAACATCCTTTGCTCTTTGGACCACAATAACCCACCTCCTGGGTGGTTCTAAAAGTTACATGAGAAGATAGTGGCCATCACACAAAGGATGTGCCCCTTTTGTTAATTATAAAAGAACACATATGGATATGGTGGACACAGACAGGGGAGCGGGGAGGGCATGTGCTGGGGGGGGCGAGGGGACCGGGGAGAGGTCAATGGGGGGGGGGAAGACTTATGAAATACTTTAAACAATAAAGAATTTATATTAAAAATGAAATAAAAATAAAGATTAAAAAAAAGAATACATATGGGAGGTTGGAAGGAATAGGATTTGGCTCAAGATCACACAGCACAGACCCTGGCCAGTTGGCTCAGCTGGTTAGAGCATCTTCCTGATAGACCAAGGTTGCAGGGACAGGGCACATACAAAAATCAACCAATGAATGCATAAATAAGTGCAAAAACAAATTGATTTCCTCTCTTTCTCTATCTCTCCCTTGCCCTCTTCCTCCAAAAATCAATCAATAAATGAAAATTAAGCCCAGCGGTGTGGCTCAGTGGTTGAGTGCCGACCCATGAACCAGGAGGTCATGGTTCGATTCCTGGTCAGGGCGCATGCTTGGA